TTGGATGATCCCTTTGCAAATCATACCTCCGTAAAATCTACATTGACCATATTACACCTTTTGTGAGTAGCCATCTTACAAAAAGATTCAACCTAACTAATTAATCAGATAACTCTTTTATGAGTTACGAATTATGCTCTATTTTATGACAAGCTAAATTCATGTTACTAAGAAAAATAAAATAATAGATATTTTTTAATGTGACTTATCTTACCTATACATTTTTTAAAAGTTGGCAATATCATTGTTAGACTTTCCCGGCATTCTTTATTTGTTTTCATCCTTAAAAATTATTAATACTGGTAGCAATTATTAAGGATGAAAACAAAGTGATGAGTCTGCAGATTTACGAAAAGTTATTGATACGAATGATTACTCGTAAAATGGGAGTTATTTAGCTATTTTAAAAGTGTTACCCATATATATAAAGATTTTTAATGAAAATATCTTTATATATATTTTGTTAATACATACATATTAAAAAAAGTTAAAATTTAAAAGTTATGTTATACAAAAGTNTTATTTTTACGTGTTTTAGCTGGCAACACTGGATCGACCATGAAAGGGAGCCAGTATTTAAACGAGGCTTAACTTTCTAATTTTTAACGATACAATAGCGATGATTATTATTTTAAAAAATTTTTGTTAGGCTTAACATCGATGAAAATTCAACGCAAAGTAGGTTAATAGCGATATACTAATATACTAATATACTAATTACATGGGATATAATAATATACTCCACTAATAATAGATTTTTTCATACTTTTCGGTTATCCGCCCTTTCAATTATCCGACCAACCCCAGACCCCAATTAGGTCGGATAATCGAGGCTCTACTGTAATTCATTTTATTGATACATTTTCTCTAACAATAAGGTATTTTCTTACTGTCATGTACGATTTGGATTCGAATTTCTCTAAACCTTTATAATTTATTTTTATTGAAACTTCTGGATGTTTTCTTCATTTCTCTTCAATGTTGGATGATCCCTTTGCAAATCATACCTCCGTAAAATCTACATTGACCATATTACACCTTTTGTGAGTAGCCATCTTACAAAAAGATTCAACCTAACTAATTAATCAGATAACTCTTTTATGAGTTACGAATTATGCTCTATTTTATGACAAGCTAAATTCATGTTACTAAGAAAAATAAAATAATAGCTATTTTTTAATGTGACTTATCTTACCTATACATTTTTTAAAAGTTGGCAATATCATTGTTAGACTTTCCCGGCATTCTTTATTTGTTTTCATCCTTAAAAATTATTAATACTGGTAGCAATTATTAAGGATGAAAACAAAGTGATGAGTCTGCAGATTTACGAAAAGTTATTGATACGAATGATTACTCGTAAAATGGGAGTTATTTAGCTATTTTAAAAGTGTTACCCATATATATAAAGATTTTTAATGAAAATATCTTTATATATATTTTGTTAATACATACATATTAAAAAAAGTTAAAATTTAAAAGTTATGTTATACAAAAGTTATACAAAAAAATAAAAAAACGTTAATATTGGGAGTTGGGTAATTTTTCAGAAATTTTCGAAAAAATACATTTATTTTTGATAAACTAAAAATCTGTACGAGTAAAAAATTTTATAACTTGGAAGCATTTTGAGATATGATCCCAATCCTCTTAATATCTCTGGAACCAATAGTTCGATTTTTTCAGAAAATTTTTACAAACATTTCCCCTTAACATACAAATTTCCTGCAAAATTTCATATTTTCGATAAAACGCACAAGAGTTATTAAGCTTCACAGTGAGTGAAAGAATTATGCCTTTCCACACACACTAACATCCATACTACAGAAAAAACTCTAACATCTTTTACATTTCTCGACGTTTCAAGGTCCCCGAGGCAAAAAAATGTAAAAATCTTGGGGTCGTTTTTGACCGGTCGCCATATTTCTCCTCTGTTATATGGCTCTGGAAAATAATACTAATTTATTCTTGTATTGATTTATCCATTCTTGTCTTGATTTATCTGTTGTTATTACGCTAAAATTTATTTTTAATTTAAAATTTTATAAATAATTTTGTTAGAATAAAACTATAATTGCTCTCCTTGGATGATTGATTGATTGATTAGCCGACGCGAGGCATCAACACGTTAAGGTTAACTTGTGACCACAATTTTATTCAATTTTATTGAATGAAAGGAATTTAAATAAGAGAAAATTAAATTCAGTATAAGATAAGGCAATTTTTAAAATTTTGTTTTCAGTAGTTTCTTCATAATGTCTTCAAAGATAAATAATGAAATATTAAATTTAAAACAGATTATTACATTTTTTACGGTAGTAAAATTCATTTAAAAAATTATTTACTGATTTTTAAAGTTTTATTTATAATACAAATATAAATAATATAAAGTAATTTAATTATTTTCTGTGATAAATTTAATAGCTATTTTATGATTTATTTTTTTACGCGATGAATCAATCAATCACTTTTATGACAATCGTTACAGCCTCAAATATGATGAAAAAGATATTAAACTGAATATTAAACAAGATCGTAACAAAACGTAAAATTATAAGTGAATCCATGCATAAAATTTCTAGTAATGTTTATTTAATGATATCACAACGTTGAGTATGCCTTCTAGCAAGAAAACATATCAGAAAATTTCTGTTTAATATTAAATAATTTTTTATTAAGTAAATATTTTTACTTAGACTTGTTGCATTTTAATAATTAAATACAAATAACTTTCAGCTAAATTTATTTCAAATATTATAATTAATTTGGATTACTATTGTTTACATTAATTGATTTACTCACAAAAGTAAAATCTATAAGTTGGGAAATAATACGTTTTATATGAAATTCTTCTTGTTCTTACATCACACAATTAATAATTATATATATATATAATAATAATTTTCATTACTACATAATCAGCTTGATTTTAACCCTAATTTTGAAATTAAAAACAGAAAATAAAGTTGGTTTCCCTAAATATAGGCTATAGGCGTATATAAAAATCTAGAAACTATAATTAAAAAATCAAAATGTAAGAATTGGATAAAGTCTATGTATTTTAAGTATGAATGATATGAAAAATAAAGAATTAATGAGTTATTAATACTATACATGGCCGTCTACAGAAAAATACAACAGAAGATACAGTACCCAGGACTTTCTCATATGGAAGGATTGTATTTAATTATGTATCGAAAATGAACCAAACATTTATTTCTTAATGTGGAAGACGTGGTTGCTGATTTATTGCTTAAGAANTACTATATATATATATATATATTAACATAAAAATTATAATTGTTAAAATCTCTAAACTATGTTCAAGTTACTTTGATTTAATTTGTTTTCTTGAAGTAAATAAAGTCGATAGAAGCAGGAAACCTTACAGAACGTGCTTACAAATGGAATTAACTTTGTTGCTAATTATTGTTAATTAAGTTTAGTTAATTAATTAGTTTACCTTAGTTGCTATATTACCATTTTTTATAAATAAATTATTCGAGAAACATTGAGCAATTCTTGATGTAATAATGCTGATATAGGATAGAAATCTATGAATTAAAAGATTAAAAATACAAATGTAAAAACGAACAATTGATTGACAGTGGGCGGACTAATTCTTTCAGAATAATATATTAACTTATAGTTTTGAAAGATGAATTAAATTTGATGAGATTAAATATCAACATCTAAAGAGAGTAAGTCTAGCGAATCGACGGATTTCTTAAAGTTTAATGAATCATCAAATCTATTCCCTACCATTATTTCAATAGTTAATTCGACTATATAATAGTCAGATTATAATTATAATAACATTAAAATATAATTCAACCATTTATTAATGTTAATAATTAACGCTAATAGATATTCTATTCGTTAGAATTAATTAAGAATAAAATAAATTCGTCTTAAATGTTATTCGAATATATTAAAGAATGGCTCTTTTTATTCTTAAATAATTATATCATATTTACATAAAAAGGAGAAAGCATGTCATTATTATTTGTTTATTAATAGAGATTTGAAGAATAAAAGTTCTATCAACAAGTAAACTAATGTTAAAAATTGCATATTGATTTATTTTAAAGAATTTTATTAAATTAATGTGGTATATATGCATACATGTAATTTAAGCCTGTATATTTATTTGTCTTGTGTTTAAAATATTCTGAAATTAAAATAACTAGTGAGAAATTTTAAAGGTTATAGTGATTATATTTTCTCAGAATTTCAGACTCAATCGTATCATGATTTGATTTATCTTCGGTTTATTATTATATCAGTTCTAATATTGAAAATAAATAATTGTCTTATATCAACGTTGTTTATGACAATATATAATTTTAAGTGGATAAAATATGTAAAATTTGTTTACATTCTTATTAAAATTATTTAGCATTCGTTTGTCATTCAGTTCAATTTTAATAAAAGTGATTAAAAATAGTAATTTTAAAAAACAATAAAATTAAAACTTTACTTCTAAATATATTTACTGTCTAATACATCTAAAATTTAATTTTTGTTCTGTATATTACTGTTTTTTTTTTTAGCAAATTAACTATTATAATGTGTCACAAAAGCTCGAATAACTATAGCAATTTCAAGGGAGAGTTTGATATCTCTTCTTTATTCTATAAAAAACTATTAATTTTCTATGTATAGACAAATTAAAACGATTAAATATACATAAATTATTCTTTCATTTCTTCCATTTCAATAATTAGATATTTGTGACGAGTTGTATTTTACATACATATATTTGCTGAGGCTAAATAATTAAATAGCTAATAATATAAATTATCTAAAAAAAAATCCGAAATTAATAGGCGTATTTGGATTGGTCGAACGATGAGACCAATAGCGGTTTTAATGATAAACAACTTAGGCTTTTATTTAAGACTTGGTTTTAAGTGTTTGACACGCAGAAATATACGCTTGACGATACTCGATCTTAGTCCAACACAATACTAACAATTAATTTTTAATTTTAATCTTAGATCTCTTACAATGTCAAGTATCGTGTGATACGGACTTTACAGTACATAAACTTATGTGAAAGAAGCCTCACAAGTCCATGATTGCGTAAGGTTCTCACAGATTAAAACTGCACTAGGTAAGATTTAATATTTAATTAACCCTATGAACTTAACGTAGGATGTAAAAAATGTCAAAAATTCTTTAATTTAATGAATTTCTACTACAGTTCTATTCATTAAGCCTGTATGAAATTCGGCCGGATGATCGAACGGTCAAAGTGGCAGCCTACCGCTTTGGGGGACCCAGGATCGAATCCGGACGGGCCGAATAATCTCTAGAAATTTTTGGGGGGTGGTCGATCCCCCGTCCCTCACCATGGTGAGAGACGGGGGATCGACCACCCCGAATGTGAAGTGACCCGACCACGATGGTGAGGGACGGATATGTCGATCCCCGTCCCTCACCATCTGGCCGCCCCATTGTGGGCCTGGCCGAACCCATAATGAGCTTGCTAAAATGAAGCCCTCTTAGTGCCCACAGCGTGAAAGAGTTTTAAAAAATAAGGCCTATATGAAAAATAGTAGATGACAGTCAACTCGTAGGCTGTATGCTGTTATAGAAATTAATTTTTATTAATTTATTTTAACTTTCAATACGAAAGAACCTCTAATTTTATTAAAATATTATACATAATTACATTTATATATTTAACTATTTACATGTATAACTACTAATATCAGTAGAACAAAAACTTTATAAATCTTGCAACGTCTTCTAGGCGTATACAATTAGAATAGAATAAAACTAAACCGAATTAGAATGAATGAAATTTTGAAAAAATTTTCAAAATTATTTTGAATTTTAAATTATTTTCAATGAATTTTTATTCCTCTTGTAATTGTATACACCTTCAGAAGCTTGATGGAGACTAATTATAAATCTTGCGAACTTTATTGCTTGAAGTTTCTATTCCAATAGCATCGGGACATATAGTTTTTTTTAAATTGAAAAACAGTTTGATCTGTCTCTAATTTGCAATAATAATTATTATAATTATAATTCATTAATAAAATTATATAAACTAATGAGATTAATGTTTCATATAAATTCTAAAAATATCTCAATTAATATTAATTTTAATATATTTAAATAATTATATGTATTTACTACCTTATTTTAAATCTTTTCTTTTAGAAATAAATTAAATAAAATTTATTATNAAATATCTCGATTAATATTAATTTTAATATATTTAAATAATTATATGTATTTACTACCTTATTTTAAATCTTTTCTTTTAGAAATAAATTAAATAAAATTTATTATTTTTTAATAATGATATTCTATCGTCTTTGTCATAATTTCTAATGATTATAGTTCTCTTGAAATGAAATAAATTACTTTTCTCCTAAATTATAACATTGAACTATTAGCAAATTTGAATTTAAACGTTAAAATCAAATATCAGAACTATTGTTTTTGTATGCAAAACATTACATCCTTATAGAATATCTTTATCTTTGCCAAGTCATATCTTGAAACATGCCAATTATCTATTTAAGAAATCTAAGATACTTTCTATAATCAATATGTGTGTTGATATTCAGTCAAACCTCGATATAGTGCCCTGCTAAAGAAGCGCCAGTGAATAATTGCAAACGGGTCTTTCTCAAAAATAATATATTAAATAAAGAATCCTTTAGTGACTTACCAGAAGTACAGTACAATTTTGCATTGTAAACGATATTTCTTTTATCGTTAAATCATGTAATTTCAATTTATCGAGCTCAAATTTTTTATGAAGACCTCGTTACTATGGCCAAAGCGCTACTCACGAATTGCATGTCGTTCTCTAACGTCAGCGGTGTAGTATTTCTAAGTTATTCAGAGATTTTAAATGAAAAGTTCAGCTAATATCATTATACCGCTGCAAAAATTATTTTAAAATATATTACAAGGGAGAAATCACATTATTTCAATGTTTATACAGTAAATAAACATAACTTGATTGACAACAATAAGACTTAGCATTGTCATGGCATCATTAACACGATAACGTTATGTTACGTTGTCACATCGTCGGCCCTTAAATATGGTTCTCGAAGCAATGTTTAGTTCGTCATCTTTGCTACAGTGTATAATTCTTATTGTTTAGAATACTTTTGTTTAGCGTCAGACTCGATTTAGTGTCAAGGCAAACAAACGATAACGCTAAATCAAAGTTTTGCTGTATTTCGGTATAATTACAGCTTTCATAAAAATTTTAAGATAACCAATTTTTAAATAAATAACCAGGTTATTTGTATGAAAAAGATATAGAACTTAAGAATCGTAAGTAATCTGCGACTAAACAGTGTTAGACAGAATGAATAAAAAATATTCAATATTTTTTTTTATTGAAATGATTCCAAATTTTAAATTGAATTGAAAAGAGTAAGTTATTGAGTTTTTATGAATTATATCAAAGGGTATATAACCAGTTAATGGTGTCCATGAATACAAAAATTTTAGATTATAAAATCTTGGCATTTTGAATAAAAATTTCAAAGCATTTGAAATTTTTATTCAAAATGACTTTCAAGCTTTCATATTTCTCATATTTGAAAAAATAGACAATTTATTTTAAACATTTCAGGAATTAAAAACAAAAATACTATAGCTACTAAAGAATAGTAACTATTACAACATTCTTATCATACTATCAAAAAGCAATATCCAATCAACAAACATTTCTATTTTATAAATAATAATGAAGTATTATCCTCATAAATAGAGAACTTTAAGATCAGTTTTATAATAAATAAAATAAAATAAAATAAAATAAAAATTTCAAAGAACTAGAGAAACTTCTCACATTATAAATGTTTTAAATAAAAGCATTTTTGTTCATTTTTAAGTAAAAATATTACTTACAGATGGTGCTCCTATACCTAATTCTAAACCAGTTCCTGTTCCAAAAGGAATCATAGGTACAGAATGCTTATAACAATGTTTTGCAATTCGGCTAACATCATTAGTTGAGTGTGGCCAGACAACCACATCAGGTGGAAGAGGGCTAAAATTTCACAAATATATTATTACACAGATAATTTAAAATTTATAACATATATATAAATGTGAATTAAAACAATATATATAAATATTTGTTAGAATTATATATATATATCCTTACTCGTAATATAAATTAAAACAAACTATACAGGATAATTCAGAATTCATGGGACAAACTTTAAGGGGTGATAGAGCACACAACAAAAAACATTTTTTGTATAGGAAATTATGGGCACAAGTGATGCATTGAAGCACAAACACAAAAAATAACACATGAAAGGAAACATAAATTGTTTACTNAATGAAAGATTTAAAATTCTTTTATTACTTGTCAAAATTTTTACTAATTAGAAACGTCAGATAACACTTCTCCTGATAATTAAAATATTTAACATTGAATAAATTATTTTACATCGGTGAATCCTACTGCAAAAAAGACTTAACATTCTTCTAATTTTTAATGAACTTTTTAAATTTAAATCATTAAACTTCTGTTAACACAGAATTAAATTAAAATTAGTAAATAAAAATAAAATATTATTTTTATAAAATGTAGATTTAATATAATATGCAATTCAAATTTAATGGAAGTAGTTCAGAAAAACAGTTAAGCTGTTACTGGAAGTCATTGATAAAGCAGTTTAAAATGTGGATGGAGTCTAATTAATTTTTTTAAATTAAAAAATAAATAAATAAATGTCATTTTTATCGGTTTTCTTTTTTCCCAGAGGTTATATTTTCTACAACCTCGAGGCTTTCAAGTTTTTATTATTCATTAAATTCTACAAACATACCTAAAATAATAGCTTAATAAGCAAATTAACTAGTTTAAAAGTTCATAATCGAAATTAAGTATTATAATATAAACGAATTATGATAAATACTTTTTATAAATATAATTATAAATATGTACGAATTATCATTAACAGTAGCGATATCTTCATTAAAATATCAGGAAAATAATAAATAAATCAGTTTTTAAATTTATTCCTGTTTAAGACAAATATTTAAATTTTTTAATGTTTTATGAATAAAATGAATTTGTAAATGGTAATAATTAATAACAATAATTTATATTGATGTAACGTTATGAGAAAGGAGGAAAATAACAGAATAAAGAGAATACAAAGTAAAATTTACAAAATTAAGGTTTTGTATAAATAAAGGCTATTTAATCTTGGGGTAAAAAACAAATATATAGCATTTTTCTTACCACGCCTTACCCTACAGTCAAATAAGACAGATGGTGGTCCTATTTCCTCCTTGTAGCCATTCGCTACGTCTATGAATGCGTCCGTAAAGGGGCAACGTCTTCTTTATGGAACGCAAATTTCTAGGTTCAGCTTTAAAAAGAGATGGATATTGTGATTCCTTGAAGGACATTTCTCAAGCACTCAAATATTCAAGCATATGTGAAATGGCAGTAAATAGATTTTATCAAAACTAAATAAAGAGAAAGAACATTCAAAATTTTAAATAATAGGCCTATATCTCTTTGTATAGAAGGCTCATTTGTTCATATTAATACATTATTACGAGAACTATGTTTATGTGAATAATTCTCATTCTTTATAATATAATGAAGCTTAAATGAGATAATTTGCAGTTTCTTATGTAAAAGTAAGCATATAAAACGTATAATTTTCCACAAATTAACTTATTTTCTTAAAAATGATCGATAATATTAAGTAAATCTTTATTAAAAATCCATTAAAAGGTTATCTGATGCTCGACATAACAATAGTTTAATAAGCTCTATTTACTAAAACTAATTGATAAATTGAAGTAAATTGAAAGAGAAAAAACTATTTTAATTTTTTTTGCTCTATATTAAAATATTTATCACGTAGATGTTTAATAATAAGCTATAATTAAAAAGAAATGTTCAATTTATAGTTTAAAGAAGTTAATAATGGGTTAGACTACACTTTCAATATAGCTATTATTAAATATATAATTTGTTATAAGCCAATAAAAATTTGTTCTATTTATCTAAAATAATAATAATAAGGTATTCACATTTAAAAAGACGATAACAGTTCAAAATGTTAACAAATATAAGAATTATAGCATTATAACTATGTA